TCAAGATGGGGATCGTGCTTCTCCATCAGACGGTGAGCCCAATCCTGGGGCTCATCCTGAAGTAGAGAGACTATAAACCCCACCTTGACGGTCTCGGTGGTGAACGTGCGGGGCTGCAAGTCAAAATACAGGGTGCAGGCGTTCCGGAAGGCTCAGAAGCGGCTTCGGTCTCCACGGAATCGTTCCGGCAGGGGAACGCGGGGTTCAGGAGCTAGGGGTGCGGCAACTGCTCCGGATGCCGGAGTAGCGGGAGATTCCGCAGTTGGAGGACTCTGAGCAGGGGGGAGTCAGGGGGGCTAACGACTCCATGCGGTCCTCAAGTCGAGCGCAGTGGCTGTGGAAATTCTGGAAAGCTTGGGTCAAAGTTGCCAGGTGCTGGCATATATCCTCTAGGGACGCCGGTCCACTTCCTGGCTCTGTCATGGCCGCAAGGTACTGTTAGGATCCGCCAGGTGGTGCCTCAGGCTGCCAACTGACAGACCTACCCAGAGCGTGGAGTATAAGCCCGGTCTGTGCTTTCACCAGGGCCCCTGATGGTGGGGATGGACTTGTAACAGACCCGGGCCAGGTCACGACCTCCGAGCAGGCCCACCAGTGGCAGAGGAAGCCGCCGGGGGGACGTATGCAGGTACCAGGAGAGCCAGATGTGAAGAGGATGGCGGGACCTAGCAGGATGGTCACAGGCCGTGGTCCCGTGGGGAAGTGGGGTACCCGAATCAGCAGGCAAAGAGTAGTCAGGTCACACGCAGGGTCAGCAGGGTAAGTCAGTCCGCAGAGAGGTCAGACAAGCCGGGGGTCAGAATAGGAGAAGGTAGAATAGTCAGGGCAATCCGGGTCAAATCACAGGAGAAGGCAGCGTAGTCAGGGCAATCCAGGTCAAATCACAGGAGAAGGCAGCGTATTCAGGGCAATCAGGGTCACTTAAACAGGTACAGGAACTCGGGATCACAGATGGATCTTGCAGCAATCAGTGACAGTGCAGGGCATCTTTAAATAGTGCGCCCTGCACTGTCATTGGCCGGCCAAGACGCGCCCCCGGCTGTCATTGGACGCCTGAGGCGCGCCCACGGCTCCTACTGTGCATGCGCGGCGTCATCCTGTCAGCCGCGGCTCGCCGGGACCTAGTGCCTGTGTCCCGGCGTGATCTGCCGCCAGTGCGCATGCGCTGGAGAGGGGCCGCGGTTGCCGAACTTGGAGCCGCGATCCCTGACAACACTCCACTGAAACTGCCCTACTAAAACTCACTAATGATTTACTAACTGCTAAAACCAATGGCCACTACTCTATACTCTTACCACTTGACCTCTCTGCGGCTTTTGATACTGTTGACCATCCCCTCCTTCTCAAAAAACTCCACCCTCTTGGCCTCTGACACTCTGCTCTCTCCTGGTTTTCCTCCTACCTACCGCAGCGCTCCTTCAGCATTACCTATAACTCTGTCTCCTCCTCTCCACCTCCTCTTTCTGTAGGCGTCCCTCAAGGTTCTGTCCTTGGACCCCTACTCTTCTCTATCTACACCTCCTCCCTTGGTCACTTGATAAACTCTCATGGCTTTAAGGACCATCTCTATGCTGATGATGCACAAATCTATCTTTCTACTCCTCACCTCGCTCCTTCAGTCTCCTCTCGAATTACTAACCTACCAAGTGACATATCAGCATGGATGTCACTCCACTTTCTCAAATGAAATCTTTCCAAAATGGAGCTCATACTATTCCCTCCAGCCCGTGCCCCCTCCCCTGACTTCTCCATCAAGATCAATAATACAACCATCAGTCCCTCCCCTCATGCCAGGATACTAAGTGTAATCCTAGACTCCCATCTGTCCTTTCAGCCCCAAATCCAATCACTGGCCAAATCTTGTAGACTTCACCTCCGCAACATCTCTAAGATATGCCCGTTCGTAACCTCTGAAACCACTAAGCAACTTATTCACTCCCTTGTTATCTCTCGCCTTGACTATTGTAACTCCCTCCTTATTGGCCTACCTAATCGCAGGCTATCCCCTCTTCAGTCTATCACGAATGCTGCTGCCAGACTCATACACCTTACTAAACGTTCCATATCTGCCATCCCTCTCTGCCAATCCCTCCACTGGCTTCCCACTGCCCAATGAATAAAATTCAAAACATTAACAACAACATATAAAGCCATTTATAACTCTGCCCCAAATTACATCACCAATCTTGTCTCCAAATACCACCCAAACCATCTTCTCCACTCCTCCCATGAACTCCTCCCCTCTAGCTCCCTTGTCTTCTCCTCCCATGCTTGTCTCCAGGACTTCTCCAGAGCCTCCCCCATCCTCTGGAACTCTCTACCCCATTCTATTGGATTATCACCTACTCAGCCCACTTTTAGGTGATCTTTGAAAACCTATCTCTTCAGGGAAGCCTATCCTGCCTTCAGCTAATAATGGAATCTTCTATTCCTCCTATCAGTTCATCCCCCACAGTTATTACCTTTTGTACCACCAGCCCCTCCCTCTTAAATTGTAAGCTCCAAGGAGCAGCCCTCTTGTATTGAACTGTATCGTTGCTGTATTGTCTCCCTTTATATTGTAAAGCGCTGAGCAAACTGTTGGCGCTATATAAATCCTGTATTCTAATAATAATATTCATAATAATAAAAAATATAATAATTGTAGCAGAGGAAAGTTAGGTCAACAAACTCACTGTACAGCTGAAAAAAATGACAGAATCATTAGCAGCTGAAACCACTGTATTTTTCTATATGTACTGTATATCAACTGTATTTAGCTGTTTGCCTGGGGTTCAGCTTAACTGTTTGGACAGCATTCTTGTTTTGAATAGCCCAACCATAAAATATTTTGAGCAATTAACAGGCTTTAGCCTTAGTGTGCATTTTAGTATAGCAACACAAGTTATGTAACTGATTTTAGCATTGTTCAGTACATAACATAATGTCGCACAACAAGCATGGTGCCTTCTTGTAGATTTATATTGTTTACACTTTCATTATTCTCTAGTAATTAACATATTTAAAAGCTGAGCTCTTTGCATGGTTGTTAACTCTAGCTAGGGACAAGCAGCACAACCTGTTTGTGAAGTTTTCCAAGAACATGGTTTGTTTAAACTAAGTAAAACATTTTGGATACATGTAGGAATCCAAAGAGGCATCATAAAAAATTAATTTAGTAAATGAATGAAGTAAACATATAGCGGGGAAGTATGTACTAGTCTTGAATAACTGCTGCATACTAGGCATCATAAATCCACAAAATATCCTGACTTCTAGGGTACGAGGAGAGTAGGTACAATGTAGGGTATGGGGAGAATAGGTACAATGTAGAGTATGTGTAATTTAGTGCGTATGTGTGTAAGGTAAGATAGAGTATGGGAGGAGTAGATACAATGTAGGGTATGGGGAGAATAGGTACTGTATGTAACCTAGACTGTAGCTGATAACTGCTGCCCACCTTCTTCCTTTGTTTTGTGGACAGGGTTAAACTGAATATTCATTAATGCAGAAGTGTAGCAGCCATCTTTAAGGTGACCACTTTACAATGCTTATCTATGGAGTGTCTCAAATGCAGGCGGCAGCCATCTTTGCTGGGTTTGGATTGATCCTGGAGGATGGTAGCTGATGCAACAAAGGAAGGAGAAATATGTCTGCAGGATACTGAGAGGAAAAGGGAGGACAGTCTTAAAGCTAGCAGAAGTGATAACACACAAAAGCAGATACACATGCCATCGTAGCACTAAGGGGTTAATGAGAAACAAAAAGCCTTATAATAAGAGACCGTTTTTTTCTGCTAACTCCCGTCAAATACTGGTAATCTTTGTCAATGCTGCCCTCTTTAAAGTGGGGAGAACATCTCCTCTTATATAGAAATACTTATTATACACCCCTCCAATAAAGGGGGAGGGACCAATGCATATAACAACTGTAAATAATAATAACATAATACATATGTATGAATCGCTGCAATGTGCTAACCACTTGTGTGTGCAAATTTCGACTTGACTTTTTCATGGACAGGCTAAGAGATAAGGGAAACATAAAAAGGATCCTAATATTCCACCTAATAGCTCAAGTTGAGAATACAGATTATTAACATGCAACATTTAACATTGACCTGGTAATATTTTTTAAAATGGTATTTGGCTAATCCTGACCATGATAAAAAAATTAAATAAACTATTATGCATTCAGATTAACACTTCTGGATGTTCCAGAAGTGCTTTCAAGATTATGTCAACCGTATGTTGCAGTTAAATAAATGTTATCTTGTTTCCCCAATACACATGGATTTTTAGAACCAACATTTATATTCTCTATCATGTATGGTGATTACTTTTCACATATCTTGCTTCTATGCACTTTTTTTTTTTGGAGCCAGCTAAAGTTCTACCCTGTTCTCATATGACCCCAAAGCAACCAGAATCCTACCAGTTTATTATTCTTACTCAGGTGTGCATTTGTCTGTTGATATGCAGAGCATAATTTGGTACCATGTTGGCCCTGACATCTCAGAGACAAGTATATTTTCTGGGTGCAGGCATACTGGCAAAAAAAAGAAAAAAATAGAAGAAGGAAAAGTTGTTTTACCTGCCCCCCTAAAAGCTGGTACTGGAGCAGAGAGCAAACCTGATTTTCTGCACACACTTATGTTAGAGATCCACATTACGATCATTTTGTACAACATCTATACTATCTCCCAGGGCTGTGGATAAGGGAGTACCACCAGTTCTCCTGTACAGGGCCCAGGCCAGCAGGGGGGCCCAGGCAGCTGAGTTAATTGAATGTGGGCAGGGACTGTGATCAGCATGGTGGTGGTGGGGGGTGGCAATTACTGGAACTGATCCCCTGTATGGTTCTCTCTGCAGCAGCTGAAAGCTAGCTTCTTCTCATCCTTTTAACATGTATAGTCCCCTTTAGGCAATGTGACATTAGTTACTTTACTCTGAACATGTACTATATTGCCAAAAGTATTGGGATACCCTTCCAAATCATGTGATTCAGGTGTTCCAATCACCTCCATGGCCACAGGTGTAGAAAATCACCTAGTGGAAGCAACTGGGAACAACAGCAACTCAGCCATGAAGTGGTAGGCCATGCTAAATGACAGAGCGGGGGTCAGCACATGCTGAAGCGCAAAGTGCGCAGAAGTCACCAACTGTCTGTAAAGTCAATAGCTAAAGACCTCCAAACATCCTCTGGCCTTCAGGTTAGCACAACAACAATGCATAGAGAGCTTCATGGAATGGGTTTCCATGGCCAAGCAGCTGCATCCAAGCCTTATATTGCCAATTGCAATGTAAAGAGTCGGATGCAGTGGTGTAAAGCACGCCACCATTGGACTCTAGAGCAGTGAAGACGTGTTCTCTGTAGTGACCAATCACACTTCTCTGTCTGGCAATCTGATGGACATGTCTGGGTTTGGCGGTTGCCAGGAGAAAAGTATTTACCTGACTGCATTGTGCCAAGTGTAAAGTTTGGTGGAGGGGCAATTATGGTGTGGGGTTGTTTTTCAGGGGTTGGGCTTGGCCCCTTAGTTCCAGTGAAGGGAACTCTTAAGGAGTCAGCATACCAAGACATTTTAGACAATTTCATGCTTCCAACTTTGTGGCAACAGTTTGGGAATGGCCCCTTCCTGTTCCAACATGACTGCGCACCAGTGCACAAAGCAAGGTCCATAAAAACATGGATGAGCGAGTTTAGGGGTGGAGGAACTTGGCTGACCTCAACCTGATAGAACACCTTTGGGATGAATTAGAGTGGAGACTGCAATCCAGGCCTTCTTGTCCGACATCAGTGTTTGACCTCACAAATGCTCTTCTGGAAGAATGATCAAACATTCCCGTAGACACACTCCTAAACCTTGTGGACAGCCTTCCCAGAAGAGTTGAAGCTGTTATAGCTGCAAAGGGTGGCCAACTCAATATTGAACCCTACGGACTAAGACTGGGATGCCATTAAAGTTCATGTGCGTGTAAAGGCAGGTGTCCCAATACTTTTGGCAATATAGTCTATGTAGCTGTTTGTGTTCTAGTACATTTTATTACAGCAGATTTCAACACGATTTGTAAAGAGAGGCGGCGTCTCATCATTATCTTGCAGGATGATGACACTGCAGAACTAGCAATACCTTCTCCAACTCTTCCCTGGACATGGAGTAGCCACCCCACTTCTGTGTCTTGCACTTGAACACATAAACAGCAAACACCTTGCCACGCTGCCTTGCAGGAATAGCAATACAGTGACTGGATGAAAAGACTGTGCAGAAGAACTGTGAAAGGTCAAGTGTATAAGAGTGTAAAGAAGTGCACAGATAAAGGATGAAATACTCCGGAAACATAAGTGTTAACTGTACAGTTTATTTTAGAAGCAATGTAAACAATACATTGACTCATGCTCATCTGAATTTTGATATGCAGCCAAAATATGGCACTTCACATGCAGAGAAGAGTAGCGCGTAATATCATACTGTCTTACATTTTAAAATAAAGGTCAACCAAATATACGAAGTACACAGACATGTATTATTTTTTGTATCTTGGCATGGCTACACACAGAAGACACAAGACAAGGAAATAAATTTAAAGGAAACTTGTACTGAACAAACCTGGATTCTTCCATTTAAACATTTCCTTCTGAAAATGCTATTTGCCTGGCTGCCATAAGGAGCAAGTAGTTTTAGTACTTTCCGAAACACTGACTTGGAACAAGTGACAGAGTTACATTTAGTCGGATTGAAAAAAAGACACATCCATCTAGTTCGGGTGTCGGCAACCCGCGGCTCCAGAGCCGCATGCGGCTCTTTTTTTCACCTTTGCTGCGGCTCCGGAGCACACTGCCCACCAGGTGACAGGCAATAGGGTTGCCGTAGCTCAGTGGTCGGCAAGCCGCGGCTCTTTTAACCTCCCTGGCGGTTTTCCCGAGTGTAGCTCGTGGTAGAATTTCTATACCACGAGCTACACTCAGGCTTACCATGCGGCGCTGCTCTGGGGGTCCCTGCAGCACTTACCTTGTCCTTCGTTCCCGCGATGTGTCCCCTGCAGCGTCCCCGGCCATCTCCTCCGGCCGATGCCGGCATCCGGCTTCTGTGTTCCGGTCCCCGTGACGTCGGGACGTACGGGCGCCGCCGGCGGCGGGAAATTTAAAAAATTTAAAAAATTTCTTTTTTTTTTTTTTTTCAATTTTCAATAGTAAAACATTGCTGTTTCATCCCATTTCACATACATATTGTCCCTAGTGCTTTGTCCTGTGCCCTGCCTGCATTTTGTCTGTTCTTTCTGCCTGGAAACTTAGAAAAGTCCATGGCGTCCAAAAAGCGTCCCTTTAGGTCAAAAGCGGTTTTAGACCGGCTAGAGAACAGCGATAGTAAATCAGAACCACTTGCAGAATTGAGTGATAATGATTTGTGGGGAAATTTTCCTAAAAATTACAGCCTACAATAAAAAACTATTTCCATGCGAAAAAATGGTACCGCTTTCAGCACAAAAAATCGGAAGGAATCATACCGCCAGGGAGGTTAATGCAGCTCTTCTGTGTGCCGGGCGCCCGCTCCCCTCCCTCCTCTCGGGCGGCCGCCCCAAAAGTCAGGACTCTGCAGCTAGCCTAGCAATGGGCAAACTACGGCCCGGCGGACCTTATAATCCGGCCCGTGGAGCGTGGCAAACATTGGCTTTCAGGATGTAGGCGGGGCAGCGTGACGAACTCCTCTCCTCTCACAGTCCGCCCTGAAGACCAGAACTGCGCGGGAACACGGCGAGAGGAACGCGCGGAGTACAGGTAAGTGAATTGACACAATATGGGAATGAATTACTATAGGGGGGATGAATTACTATAGGGGGGATGAATTACTATAGGGGGGGATGAATTACTATATGGGGGATGAATTACTATATGGGGGATGAATTACTATAGGGGGGATGAATTACTATATGGGGGATGAATTACTATATGGGGGATGAATTACTATATGGGGGATGAATTACTATGGGGGATGAATTACTATATGGGGGATGAATTACTATAGGGGGGATGAATTACTATAGGGGGGATGAATTACTATGGGGGATGAATTACTATATGGGGGATGTATTTTCAGTTTTAAAAATGTGGCTCTCAAAATAAATTTTAATCGTGGTTTTGGCGAGATTTGGCTCAGGTGAAAAGGTTGCCCACCACTGACCTAAGGCTATGATTGTGATTATGACGATACACTGTGGCCCTGATTAACCCTTTGCTTACTGGGCCCTTAAACCCCCTTCATGACCAGAGCGCTTTTTGCAATATATGCAGTGTCGGATTTGTTTTAAATGTTGCAATGGTTTTGCGGCTCCCAGTCTTTTTTTCCCTCTCGGAAACGGGTCCAAGTGGCTCTTTATGTCTTAAAGGTTGCAGACCCCTGATCTAGTTCAATAAATAGAGAAAAAAAGGTATGTACATTAGAAATTCGCTTTCACGGTCCTGAATGTTTGTTCCAGCTCAGTTCTTCAGATATAACCAGAAACCTAGCATTTCAAAGGTCAGTAAAGGCAGCCTTTAAATTTGTCTCACAACAGCTAAATTCTCACTGCAGCACCACTGAAAGGAGAACCATGGCTAATCACTTTTCAGCATGCAGCTAAAGAGCAGCTTCCAGGCATTCCGAAAGCAATCTTGAATGCCTGTTTTTTATCTTTTTGATTTTTTTTTTCTGAATTGCAATTTTCAATGGAACTAAAGCACCACAATAACAAGCTAAGCGTTTGGGTTGCGGTTGAGGCACAGCCCTCAACAAGCTGCATTAAATTTTCTGTGAGCGTAACATGTATACAGCCCTCTCTAGCCATTTGTTATCTTTTAGGTGGGCAGTCAGGGCGTAAAAACACAGCTCAACCACTTGTTTTTACCACCCTCTTGCTGCCTGTTTGAAAGAAACCTACAAGCTTCTTTTAACTTCCAATTTTTTTACATTGTGTGAAACACTAATACAGATTTTCAGTGATTATGGAGTAAATATTTCCTTTCCCTAAACACAGTAAAGAAGCTGCCTAAATGCGATAAAGACATCATTAAGCAGGCCAAACATTGCTCGGTTTTTTTCAATCAGCCAGCGTGCGGAATGAAAAAAACTGAACGGATTCCCCCATCCACACATTCAAGGTGGATGTGGGAATCCTCCTCATTGTATTCTGACAGTGGAAGAGTCACCTGGACTTCTCCACTGTCAGAACAGACTAATCAAACTAAAGTTTTACAGCAAGCCTGTTCGTAAGCAGTCAATCATTAAACCGACTGCTCTCAAGCTGGGCTGGCCATAGATGGATCGAAATTTGGCTGGTCCCTGCAAGCTTTAAGTACTTGAATGTACTTTTCAGTATGATTTGAATGTCCTTTTTTAACCACTTTAGGAATTTGGGGGAATTAGGGTAGCACTGTGTTCACTATGACTCCCCCATTCTCACTACACATTCTCCCTATGGCTCAGTATCTAGCCTGCTCAGTGCATGTAAGCAAGAGTTAACAAACTCATTGACTATTTATACACTGACATTAACTGCAATTTAAAAAACCTTTATTTGGCATTTTGACCTGTGTGTGTCACCTTGTGTGTCTGTACCAAGGCCAAACATTTCAGGGGATGGAAACTTTTAATCATGGCCATTTGGGTGATTTCTGTTATCATTATGATTTTAAAAGGAGCCAAACAACTATTAGATAATAAATGGCTTCATATGATCACCATCCTTAATTACAAAACAGCATTTTTGGCATGGTCAGTCATATTTTTTATATCAATGCCAAAATTTCATGATTTCTGCCAGGGTATGCAAACTTTTAAGCACAACTGTATATATATATATATATTGCAAAATTGAATGCAGTCACAAATGTTTCAGTCGCCTTTGGGCATAAAAGTGTTAAGAAATGCAGTTGGCAAACAACATAATGTTGTAGGATCTCATCTTTTAACAAACAAAATTATTGACTTTATAAATGTAAAAGGCAAACATAATCCCCCTTCCCCTGGCCCCAACAACTACACAAGAACAAATAGCTTCAACTAGAGGGTTATTGCTCACTTGACTGCTTCACTTCCAGCACCTTAGACTGCTCAACCCCAAATCTCTTAAGTTTGAAGACACCAATGAAACTCTTTGCATAGCCTAGCAATTTATTAATCTCTTTTCAAAACAGATTTTTTTTTTAAATTTTAGCAACTTTTAATGCATATATTTTTATTGTATTTTATTTAAATTATTGTATTATTTTATTTTTTTTATTTTATTTTATGGATTTTAATGAAGAAAATGTGAAAATTAGCACAAAAAAAGCTCTTTCTAGTGATTGTTCCCACATCTGCATTTACATTAAC